GGATGATGTCTGATCACATACTGCCACCTGATGAAAAAGCCCAGCTGTGCTCACTGGGGTAGCATTTTGACCACATCCCTGGTTCATATTTGCTTTATTAAATATGACATCACCAAATTATGATGAACCTTCTGCTGGAGACCCCAAGGTGCTCCTGTGTTGGGGTACAAGTGTGAACTGTTACTTCTGCTTCTGCCCTCAGGCAATAGAAACTCTGACAGGCGCCCTGTTTCAGCGACCACCCCTCATTGCTGCTGTCAAACGACAACTGAGAGTCAGAACCATCTATGAGAGCAAGCTGGTGGAGTATGATCCTGAGAGAAGACTAGGTAAAATGGGACTTTCCTGCCTTCTTCCTATTAAGCTGACAGCTGATAAAATTTCCTGTGAGATGGGCTGCTTCCTATTCTTGGCAAATGTCCTAAGGTCTAAATCCTCACCACCATCAAGCAGTAACTGCTTCATGCATTACTTTGATGTGCTGAGAAGCAAATCCTGTGTATTTTTGGTACTGCTCCATCCTTCACTGAAGAGCCAAATGATGTCAATTAGATGGCATTAGCACTCAGTGCAAAGATGACCTTCATCTATCACCCCAGGCTGATGGCTCTGTGAATGGTTGGACATACAGCTTCTCTTGGAGAGAGTTTCTAGGTGTGGTTCATTTCTAGATATGTGTTTAAATACTCTCCTGTCCTGCCTTCCATTTCAGGTATCTTCTGGGTGAGCTGTGAAGCAGGCACGTACATCCGAACACTCTGTGTTCACCTTGGATTGCTGCTTGGAGTAGGGGGCCAGATGCAGGAGCTCCGCAGAGTGCGCTCGGGCATCCTAGGAGAGAAGGTAGAGTGATGGCACTAACTATAACCAGACAACTTGAGCATGGCAGAACTGCAGGAGTTCCTTGGCAGAACTGCATTGGGTTTTCAGGGTTAGGAGAAGGTATTGGTGCGTGGCAGCTTGGGGGAGTTTAGTGAATAGCCCTGAAAACACGGTTCCATGGTGTGGAACCAAAGTGTTGAGTTCAGTTCAAGGTGTTGTCCCTGTTCTGGTAATTAAGCTTTGGGACAGTGAGTGACTGGGAAGTGCACCCTGGTGACTGAAAGCATGTTTCATGCCACCTGTGTTTCTCAGCCTACAAACCATGCATGTGCCATGAGTTCACGTGGATGGGCTGTCTGCTTGGCAGGCTGTGACCGCTTGGTGTCAGGGCATAACAAACACAGGGAATGGGCTTCCTCAGACTGAGCCTGGGAGGTGCAGGCTCTTAACACTGGTACAGTCTTTTCAGTCTGGTCATAGCTGGATCCTGCTGCCAGTCCAAACTCCAGAACTAATCTCTTTCCTTGCGAAACAGATGTATCAGTGGAAGTGCTTCCCCACCAATTTGTGCTCTTACTGCAGCTGTAATCACTGCAGTCGTATCTGAACTCGAGGTGTTGGGTGCTTACAGCTGCTTCAAGAATTTATTCCATGTCACAGATTGAAGAGCTGGTTAATTTAGACTTCTTTGTCTAGAAGTTCCAGATACTTGTTTAAGTTTGGTCGTATTTCAAAGTTTCGTGTGGACAGACCTGATACACCAGATCCAAGTGCTGCCTGTGATTAGCAAGGTTGAAGTCTGTGGTAGCACAAGTCAGGCTGACCTCAAGTCATTGATGGAAAGTATTCTTCCCTTTTTTAGCTTGCTTTCTTGATGCTTCTAAATTGGACATCTGTTTTCACTCCTTCTGTTGGAGCTGTTCTCTTGTGTGTGTTTTGAGTTAGTAGCTGGAGGAGAGTTTAGAAAGGTTGTGTGTTCATCTTCACAGGACAACATGGTGACCATGCATGATGTCCTGGATGCACAGTGGCAGTATGACAACAACAAGGATGACAGCTACCTGCGGAGAGTTATCCTGCCTCTGGAGAAACTGCTGACTTCACACAAGCGGCTGGTCATGAAAGACAGCGCGGTGAGCTCCTGACACAGTGCTGGCTGAGAGCCAGAGGCCACAGTGTCCTCCTCTCTTGTACAGTTGATAGGAGAAATGGGGGATTAGGGTCCACATGGTGTCCAGTGCTGTCCTGAGTGTGTGCAGTAAGATGCAAGAGGCAAGAATTGAGTGGCAGAGAAGCTGCTCTCCTCAAGGTCGATGCTAATGGTTATAAGAGATCTGCCTCACATGTTGTTTGCTGTGATAGGTACTTTGCTTGATTTTTAGAAAGCCTTCAAATTTTATATGGTGGACAAGGAGAAATGTTATTGCTGGGAAATAACAGCAATGGGAAGCTAGAATATTAGAGGCATTTCTTATCTTGTTTTTATTCTCATAGTGGCTTATAAGCCCTCCTGTTCCCTCCATTTTCAGGTTAATGCTATTTGCTATGGAGCCAAGATCATGCTGCCTGGTGTCCTCAGGTATGAAGACGGTATTGAGCTTAATCAGGAGATTGTTGTCATCACTACAAAAGGAGAAGCTATCTGTCTAGGTATGAAACTTCTTTTTCTTCTTGTGGCCAGCTAGCTGCAGACATAACAGACTGTTTCTAGTGAATGCACAACAAATGGATCTCCATGCACAGAAGGTTTAAACAGTGCTTCCTGATGGGGACTGTGGGTTAAGCATGGCCCAAGGCAGCTGGTGTTGGGCAGGATTTTAAGAAACGGTGGCTGTGTCAGTCCTTGGCAAGGTGTGAAGAGTTCCTCAGCCTGGTTTCAGCTGTGTGATGCTCAGGTGTGCTCTGTGTGTGAGGTGATGACGAGGTTTATCCATTCTCTGAGTGCAGTGGTGCTG